CAGCTGTTGATCAGTATAGCCGGCAGCGATGTAGAGATCGCGCATTGCTCGAATGGCTGATGTGGCCTCGCTGCATGGTGTTGTCACTCTGCGTACCATGCGTGTGCGGGCCTGAAAACTGCTGCGAAGTGTTGCAACAGAGGTGGCTGACTGTGGGTGGAAAATATCCGCCTTGTGCAAAGTGCATTGATGCGTAAGGCTGCTGTGCTGAGGGTTTATGGCGAAACCCAGGAAAATGTTGGCCGGTTCAGTTTCAAGCTGAACCGGTGGGTTGTAGAAAGATGCGTCAGTAAGCTGTGCAAAAGGAGGCAGTCGGGTCAGCTGTGCAGGTAAAAGAAGGACGCGGTTGTCGACGTATCTGGTAGCAAAAAAGAAAGCTTGATCCTGCTTGTTGTGGTCGGGAAAATGCTTGTGGTTCTTGAAAAGTTGTTTGTATGTGTGGTGCCAACACTGTTCTTCGACAGCAACCACGATGTTGCATAGGGCTGGGCTGCAGGGCGAGCCCATAGGTGCACCGCGAAATTGCTCAATGAGTGATGTACCGACAGTGAAATAGTTGAGTCGGAGCACTGCAATGATGAGTTGTGGTATGTGTTGTAATTGTATGCAAAGTTTGTTGCCGGAGGAGGCTTCTTGCTGCTTTTGTCTGCTTTTGCCCCTGTGGACTCGATGTGTGGGGTCTTTCTGTGAGTGGTCAATGAAGAATTTGGAAGAGTGTAGTGGGTTCCTCTCTCTGTACCATCGAACCATGATGCTGTATGCTGAAAGAAACCGGCTCTGATCGACCGATGTAAAAAAGCCAGCCAAATCCTGATTGTACAGGATGTAATCTGTTGAATCTTGTAATTTCCTGCGTTGATGCAAGAAGAGTGCTGTTTGTTTGAGCTGTGTTATCCCGTCTCCTTGGTGAAAGGAGTTTGTGCATGCTTGAAGTGTCATCAGCTGCAGTACGTCTGCTAAGGCTTCCCATAATTTTCGGCCCATGGTGTCGATGAACGCCACTATAGGACGTCCTTTCGCGAATTGCTTTTTTCTTTTCGGTAAAATGTAGGCACGTGGGATGCGGCCCCATTGTGGAAACGCCCATGTGTAAGTTGGTAGAAGACTGCGGATGTCTGTGTAGACATCGAAGTGGTGTTGTAGAGGTTGGCGCTGCGAGATCCGAAAGATCTCTTTGTTTAAAAAAGTGTTGTGTATGGCAGTGTGGTATAGTGCTGGGCAGTACCACGTGAGTCGGTTCGGGAAGTGATCTTCGCAATGGATGATGCCCGTGGGTATTTTGTGTTGGACTTGCTTGAGCATCTTGACCTGTAGTATGTTGTTTTTACTGCAGTGTGTGTTGTGTTGTGGTATTTGTTCAGATACAAACTGCTTTGCAGTTTGATGGTTGTAAGGCAGT